TGATGAGGAAATGCCCGACGCTCCAAATGAGGAGGTCACTCAGGCTGCCCTTAACCGATGGCAAAGTGCCAATCGGGATGTCAAATGCATCATATTGGCCACCATGTCTCCGGACCTTCAAAAGAATTTCTTTGAAAAGGACACAGCTTTTGAGATCATTTCTGAGCTTCAGAATATGTTCCTAGAGCAGGCCTAAACTGAAAGGTTCGAAACCCACAGGCAGCCTTGAGAGCAAGCTCAAGAAAGGAGAGCCAGTCAGCCCGAATGTTCTCAAAATGATTGGATTATTTGAGAACATGGAAAGGCTTGATGCTGGGTATTCAACCGAAATGGCAATTGACATCATTCTACACTCCCTTCACAAAGGCTATGATCAGTTCAAGATGAACTATAATATGCATAGTATGGAGAAAACCCTCACCGAGCTTCATGGTATGTTGAAGCAAGCCGAGCAAACCCTCAAGGATGAGGGCAAGCATGACATGCTCATGGTGAGGAAGGGCAAGCCATTCAAACGTCTGGGAAAAAAGAAAAGCTTTAATGGGAAAAAGAAGAAATTCCCGCGTAAGTCAAAATCTGCAAAGGGCAGCAAGGACAAAAAGGCAGCCTCTTCTAAATCCGATTCCGAATGTTTCTACTGCAAGAAGAAGGGACATTGGAAATGGGACTGGCTCAAATTCAAGGAAGATAAGAAGAATGACAACGTTGCTTCTTCATCAGGTATTTTCGTTATAGACTTAAACTTCGCTAGCAAAACATCATGGGTATTAGATACCGGATGTGGCTCACACCTTTGTTCCAATGCTCAGGGACTAAGGATAAATAGGATGCTAGAGAAGGGAGATGTCGAGCTTCGGGTCGGCAATGGAGCAAGGATGTTTGCCGTCTCCGTTGGAACTCTCTGTTTGTCTTTGCCCTCAGGGCTTGTTCTAGAACTTGAAAACTACTATCATGTTCCTAGAGTGACCAAAAACATTATTTCAATATCGGCGTTGGACGCCAAAGGATTCGAATTTCGAATCAAAAACAATAGTTGTTTTATTTATTTTGATAATGTTTTATATGGTAAGGCACATTCAGAAAATGGTCTTTATGTGCTTTCACTAGACAAACAGGTTTATAACATCGAGAATACTGCTAAAAGGGCTAAGACCATCGAGTCGAATCAAACCTACTTGTGGCATTGTCGTCTTGGCCATATTAACATCAAACGCATCAAGAAACTTCTTCAAGAAGGTGTTCTTGACTCATTCGACTTAGAGTCGTTTGAAAATTGCGAAGGATGCTTATTAGGCAAGATGATAAAATAGCCATTCTCCAAGTTAGGAGAAAGGGCAAGTGACTTATTAGGTCTAATACACACGGATGTATGTGGACCAATGAGCACACCCGCAAGACAAGGTTACCGATATTTCATCACTTTCACCGACGATTATAGTAGATATGGCTATGTCTACTTAATGTCGAAAAAATCTGAATCCTTTGAAAAGTTCAAATAATTTCATAAAGAAGTTGAAAATCAACTTGGCAAGAAAATCAAAGCACTTTGATCGAATCGAGGTGGCGAATATTTAAGCCAAGAATTCGACGATCACTTGAAAGAAAATGGCATTCTTTCAGAGTTAACACCTCCCGGAACTCCTCAATGGAACGGAGTGTCCGAACGGAGGAATCAGACCTTGTTAGACATGGTTCGATCAATGATGGGTCTTAGTGAACTCCCTATCTCTTTCTGGGGACATGCGCTACAAACTGCAGCACTAACACTGAATAGAGCTCCGTCAAAAGCTATTGAAAAGACTCCATATGAATTATGGTTTAAGAAACCTCCTAGGTTGTCTTTTCTCAAGATTTGGGGGTCCGAAGCATATGTCAAGCGATTAATTTCGGACAAACTTCACCCCAAATCGGATAAGTGTTTCTTTGTGGGATATCCAAAAGAAACCAAAGGGTATTACTTCTACAATAAATCCGAGAACAAAGTTTTTGTAGCTCGTGATGGTGTCTTTTTGAAGAAGGATCACCTTTCCAAAATGACAAGTGGGAGGAAAATTGAACTCGACGAATTTCAAGATGACGAGCAACAAGGTCAACCTAACAAAACTGACAATCTAGATACTTTGGAAGCATATAAGAAGATTGGTCAGAATCAACCAGACAATGTAAATGCCCAACCGATTACCCTTCGTAGGTCGCAACGGCAAAGATCTCAACCAGACAGATACCTCGGTATCGTCTTAACCGATGATCGGGACATCCTAGTCATGGATGGTGATGAGCCGGCGACATACAAGCAAGCTATGACGAGCCCCGACTCTACAAAATGGCAAGAGGCCATGAAATCCGAGATGGACTCCATGTATGAAAATCATGTCTGGGACTTGGTGAATTTGTCCGAGGGTTATACACCCATTGGTTGCAAATGGATCTTTAAAGTGAATACAGACAAGGATGGAAATGTATCAATATACAAAGCTAGACTGGTGGCAAAAGGTTATAGACAAGTCCACGGGATTGACTATGATGAAACTTTTTCACCAGTTGCAATGCTAAAATCCGTCCGGATCATCCTAGCGATTGCTGCATATTACGATTATGAAATATGGCAAATGGATGTCAAAACCGCCTTCCTTAATGGAATTTTGGAAGAAACTGTGTATATGACACAGCCAGAAGGTTTTGTCGATCAAGGCAACGCTGGAAAGGTTTGCAAGCTGAAGAAGTCTATTTATAGACTAAAGCAAGCCAGCAAAAGTTGGAATTTGCGATTTGATGAAGCCAATAGAAAGTTTGGTTTTATCAAGAATCCAGATGAATCTTGTGTATACAAGAAGGTCAGTGGGAGTGATATTGCATTCCCAGTCCTGTATGTCGATGACATACTTCTCATTGGAAACAACACAAAATTGTTGGAGTCCGTAAAGGGCTGGTTAGGCAAGTGCATTTCAATGAAGGACTTAGGAGAGGCACAATACATATTGGGCATCAAGATCTACATGGATAGATCTAAGAGGATGAGTGGATTAAGCCAGAGTACTTACATTGATAAGGTACTGGCTCGATTCAACATGGAGAATGCCAAAAGAGGGCATTTACCCATGTCCCATGGCATAACTCTCAGCAAGAAACAGTTGTCCACAGACTGGCTTTGAAATTCCCTGTACATGTGTTTTAATTAAATATGATATTTAATGTAAGACACTATATTAAAACCATTCATTAATGGAGTAATTAATTTTTGTGCAAAATTATCATTCACTCCATTACTATTTAATTGTGGTTTAGAATTAAATAATGAGTCCATTCGATTTACGGAAATATTCAAAACTGGGTATGAAGACCATGTCTTGGATAAAGAAACACCTGTTCAGTGAACATTGAATATTAAATCGAAAATTGTCCCTAATCGAGGTCATCTAACAGATGGACGATTGATGACCGCCATAGATTAGTGTGTAGTATGATTTACAGCACTGTTTCTTGTGCTGCGAGGACGTGACAGTCATAAATCATTTACACAGGCATAGTTTGGAACTGTACTGGATAAGACCTATGAGAGTACTTTAAGAAAAGTTAAATTTTGTCATAAGTACATTTCTCATTATGACTATCGGAACTTGTTACCTCCGACCATGAGTACTGTGAAGTTTTCTTGTTTGAGTACTAGACTCTTTGATGTTTCCAAACGTCTGCCGTAACTGGGGATCATAACGGGAACACTCAGGAGACTATGTCCTCTTATTAAGAAGAACTTACAATACAAGACTGGGATTGTCCCCCTACTAACAATAGGGAAAAATGTTTTGTTGTTTACAAGGCCGCTCGAAGAGCGAGACTGTGAAAATGCATGGTCGTGCTCAGATGGATTTTAGAAATCATCTGCTTATTTGACAGTCGAACTCGGAGATCGAGAAACACTTCTGAACGTAATAAGGATGACAAAGAATCTTACCTTATAGTTCACGAAGAAACATTAAGTGACATAGGAAATAAGCTATACACTGTATGCACACTTGTCCGGAAGGACAAGTGGGAGATTGAAAGGAATGGTGTCCTTCCAACAAGTGTATTTTTCCGGTAGAGGGTTCAGAATTATTACAGAGCTAATTTTTCAGTAAGCTAGCCCTCCTTAACCCGGTTTTGTGCATAGAGTGTGGGGACCAAATCATGGCCTTGGGGATCAAGGCAATGGTCCCCCCAAGCCTTGGTCCTCACTTGGCTTTCTCTATTATTATGTCATGTGTCGATTTGTGATTGAATTGATTAACCATTTATTTTGGAATTAAATAATTATCATTTTACCAACTCTCCCACATTGATGGGAGATTGGAAATCAAGGGATCATTTCCCTATAAATACCAAGCTTGGGTATTGGGAAATGAACAACCTTGAGTGGAATTAAAAAGGCAACTCTAAGAAAGAGTAAACCTTTGATTCGTAAAACTCATAGTTATTTTGTCCGGGTCTTGACTAACCTTCAAGACTTAGGACGCTCGGGTCGGGTCGAGGGTACGATCCGTCGGAGATCTCGTGTTTTTGGGATTTTGAAGTAAGAGCTCTTTGGGAGCGAAGCACGCGTCAAAGGTATAATTTTTGTTCTTAATCTTGTTTGATTAAGTTTAATATGCTTGTTAATTTTTTTAATTAAGGGGCAGGTCTTGGTGGGTTTCCTTCCGCGTAGTGTCGGGTCACTACAAAACCCTACACCTATGAGGGTCCAAAGGAAGGGGATAGCAAGGAAAAGAAGGAGGGAGAAGAGAGGGTGAGTGAAGATAAAGAAGTTGAAGAAGAGAAGGTTGATGAGAAAGAGAAGAGTATGGAGAAAAAGAAGTTTAAGGATGTGGTGACATCCTCAACTTCTAGTGAGGCTAGAAATTTTGATGGGCCGGTTCCTTTTCCCGGTCGACTTGCGGAGAGAAAATTGGATGACAAATTCGCAAAGTTCTTAAGTGATGAAGAACTTACACATTAACCTCCCTTTCATTGAGGTTGTCACACAAATGCCTTCATACTCCAAGTTCTTGAAAGACATTCTCACCAACAAGAGGAAGCTTAATGATGAGCTTATCACTCTTCCCCATCAAGTGAGTGCGCTTGTTGAACACAAAATGCCCAAGAAGCTAAAGGATCCGGGAAGTTTCACTCTACTGGTCAATATTGGGAACATGGAAGCTAGGGGTGCCTTAGCCGATCTTGAAGCAAGTGTTATTTTGATCCCTCTATCCATCGCTCAAAAGCTTAATATCGAGATGATCCCCACAAGGAAAACCATTCAATTGGCCGACCGTTCGGTGAAGCTACCTTGTGGTGAGCTTGAATGTTCCTATTCAAGTTGGGCACATCTATGTGCCTTGTGATTTTGTAGTGATGGACATGGAAGAGGATGTGGATACTCCCTTGATTTTGGGTCGTGAAGCTCTTAAGACCTTGGGGGCGGTGATCAATTGCAAGAACAATACCATTACATGTGAGGTAGCTGATGAGAAAAATTGTCTTTGAATTCTCTAAGCTACTCAAGACCCCCATGGTTGAGAAGTGCTATGGGGTTGATGTTGTCAATGAAGAATTGGATCGTTTGGGAAGGGTTATGATGAGTCCTCAAGATCCAATGGTTGAAGCTCTCACATGTGAGGAGGATACTTCTCTCAAGAAGCAAAGGAGTGTGTCATGGCCATTGAAGAAGCCAAAAGGAAGAAGAGAACGGTCCTAAGCATGATGAGCTAGAACTTGAGGAGGAAAAATTGGAGGAGTGTTTTAAGCCTCCTCCCAAGGTAAAACTCAAACCCCTTCCCCCTTCTTTGAAATATGCTTATCTTGGAAGTGAAGAGGAATACCCTATTATTGTCAATGCTTCCCTTGATGGTCTTGATTTGGAAAAATTGCTTGTTGTTTTGAGAAAATATAGAAATGTGATAGGGTATAGCATTGATGATATCAAGGGTATTAGCCCTTCTTTATGCATGCATCGTATTCACCTTGAGGATGATCAATCCACCTCCATTGAGCCTCAAAGGAGGTTGAACCCCAACCTCCAAGAGGTTGTCAAGAAAGAAATTTTGAAATTGCGTGAAGCGGGTATAATCTATGCTATCTCCGATAGCAAGGGGTTAGCCCGGTTCACGTGGTTCCAAAAAAGGGTGGAATGACCATTGTCAAGGGAGAAGGAGGAGAGGAAATCTCCACCCGGACGGTGACCGGGTGGAGGATGTTCGTTGATTATAGGGAAGTTGAACAAAAACACTAAGAAAGATCATTTTCCTCTCCCCTTCATGGACCAAATGTTGGAAAGACTCTCCCATCATGCTTTCTTTTGCTTCTTAGATGGATATTCCGGATTTTTCCAAATTCCTATCCATCCAAGTGATCAAGAGAAAACTACTTTTACGTGTCCATATGGGACATTTGCATACCGAAGAATGTCATTCGGGTTATGCAATGCTCCCTCAACTTTTCAACGATGTATGACTTCCATTTTTTCTGAAAT